GGTCCCTCCATGGCGGGTCTGGCGGTGACGGTGGTGGTCATACCGCTCACCGAACTGCTGGGGAAGGCACTGGCCAAGAGCCGCAGAGAGCAGGTAAGGGGGGAGGTACGGGGTACGAGGTACGGGGTACGAGGTACGGGGTACGAGGTACGGGGTACGAGGTACGGGGTACGAGATACGGGGGAAAGGGGGGGGAAAGAGGGAGGGGTGGGGGGGTTTTGGGGGAAAGGAAAGGGAAAGAGGGTGTTGACGAGGGGGGAGGGGATTGATGGTGATCATTTACTTATATTTCTAGGGAAAAGCTCTTCCATTGAAGAAAAAAACCGTCATGGGTGGTAGCTTGCGTATGCTGCAGTGCAGTCCCGTGCTCTCACTTCACACACCCGCCGTGGCTGCCAGCATCACCTCGGGCACCTGTTGTACGGATAATGATTGTCCGCGTGTATTGGTGTATATGCGTGTGTGTTTTCTCTCCCGGCTTTCTCCCCTCCCCCTCTCCGCTGCCCATTGGCCAGTGGTTCGCCTTACCCCTCACCCCTCACCCCCCACCCCTCGCCCCCCACCCCTCACCCCCCACCCCTCGCCCCTCACCCCCCACCCCTCACCCCAACCTCCAAACCAGATCAAGTACACAGATCTGCGAGTGAAGTTGTGCTCTGAGGTGATCACGGGGATCAAGGCCATTAAATTGTATGCCTGGGAGGTGCCGTACGTGGATCGGATCCAGGAACTCCGGGAGAAGGAGCTGAGTCAAATCAAGAAGACGCAGGCGCTGTCCATGTTCAACACGGCCATGTGAGTTTTGTATGTTTTGTTTGTATGTATGTATGTGCGTGTGTGTGTGAATTAAATTTCCATGAGTAGCATGAAGGGGGGTAATCACATCATCACATCATCAGTATCATCATACGTTTCATCGCCATCATCATCATCATCGTATGGTTCCCCCCCTTTCCTCCCTTGATAACTACATCACCGCGAAGATTCCTCCTCCTTCCTAAACAAGTGGCGACTTAGGGTTTTGGTTAGTGCTTTTCCTTACTTCTGCTGTATCAGTCTATATCCTCCTTGGCATCAGCTTCACTCGTTCACGTGGTGGTTCGTCTTTCCCCCCCCCTGTCCCCGCTCAGGTTCATGTCCGGTCCAGTGCTTGTCGGTCTCGCGGCTTTCGGCACGTACACTGCCCTGGGCTACGCCCTGACAGCGGCTGTGGCCTTCCCCGCCCTGGCGCTCTTCAACCTGCTCAGATTTCCCATCATCATGCTGCCTAGCCAGGTTCGTACGTATGTATGTATGTATGTATGTATGTATGTATGTATGTATGTATGTATGTATGTATGTATGTATGTATGTATGTATGTATGTATGTATGTATGTATGTATGTATGTATGTATGTATGTATGTTTGCAATGTGTTTATGGGACCCTTTACGAGTCAGGTTTCCTTTCTGACACACCCGCCTTCCTCTCCCTCTTCCCCGCACCGGCCTCAGTACGGCCTCAGTACGGCCTCAGTACGGCCTCAGTACGGCCTCCACCACTCCCCCTTATATTTCCACCCTGCAATAAAGACCCTTCACACACACACATACACACACATACACCCCTTCTACCTTCTACCTAGGGAGCTAGAACCCCCCCTCCACTTATTTAAGAACTAAATATTTAAAAACTAAATTTAAAACTGAAGCTCCGCACCCCCCATCCACGCCCTTTCTTTCCTTTTCTTACCCCTTCCTAAGATCATGAGCCTGGTCCAGGCGCGTGTGGGTCTTCAGCGCATTCAGAAGTTCATGGAGGCGGATGAAATGAGCCACTCGGCTCCCGGGTACACCTCCCTGCCGGCGGGGGCGGCGGCGGCGGCGGCGGGGGGGGGCTCGTCGGCGTCATTGCTCGGTATGGTCGGAACAGCCGGCGCCGGCGCCGGCGCCGGCGGCGGCGGCGGCAGCTCCGCAGCCGCCGCTTCTGGCGGCGGTCTGAGCGGCTCTTCGATTGTGTTGATGCTCCGTGACGGCGTGTTCGGCTGGGATGCCGGGGGCGAGGCGGTGCTGCGGGGGGTGTCGCTGGAGGTTCGGCGGGGGCAGCTAGTCATGGTGGTGGGGCAGGTGAGGAGGGCGGGTGGGGCGGGCTTTTGGGGCGGGTTATGGTGGTGGGGTTAGCCAGAACACAACACCATTACCTGTTGGAGGGGTATTGCTTCTTTTCCTCCTCGGCCTCCTCGGCGGTTGTGTTTGTTTGGCTGTGTCAGTTGTACGGCAGCTCGAAATTCCCCCCCGTCTCCTTCTTCCTCTTATTAGACATCCTGGCCCACACACCTGTCGTGTCTACGACCGTTTCCTCCCGCCGATGCTACTGCTGCTACTGCTACTACTGCTACTACTGCTACTGCTGCTACTACTACTACTGCTACTACTGTAATTGCTACACTGCTGATACTGTAACTGTCGTTACTGCGATTGCTGCAGTGTTGTTGTGTTGTAACTGCTACTGCTGTTACTGATTAACTTCTGTAACTGCTACTGCCCCTACTTTGTCGTACCTCCGTAGGTAGGCAGCGGGAAGTCCTCCCTGCTCGCCGCCCTGTTGGGGGAGATGCACCGCAGGTCGGGCAGTGTACGGGTGGTGGGCTCCGTGGCGTATACGGCACAGGATCCCTGGATCCAGAATACGACACTCCGCAACAATGTTCTTATGGGTTGTGACATGGACGAGGATGCCTACGCCGCTACTTTGCAGGCGTGCGCGCTGGTGACGGATTTGGAGCTACTGCCGGCGGGTGAGGGTGGGGTGGGGTGAGGGGACGTAGAGGATGTGGGGGTGGGGTTTGGGGAGAAAGACGAACCACGAACGAGGGGGGGGAGGGGGGAGGGGGGGAAAGACGAACCACGAACCCGAGTGAAGCTGCTGCCAAGGAAAGAGTGTACAAGAAGTAGAACTGACCAAAAGGTGTTGTTGAAGGCGGCGACCCCGGGTGCGGGGGGGGGTTGAGGGGGTTATGGGGTTACCTGTTTGTAAGTGTGTGTATGGGTTGGATGGGAGGCTATCGCCCGGGGTCATCTGAGTCCCATGCATAGCTTGTTCTGTTCTCACACGTGTGAGGGGGGGGGCGAGGGGGAAGTGTTGTTGCCAGTGGAGGTGATTGTAGGAGGGGTAGTGTTGGGGTGAGGGGTAGTGTTGGGGTGAGGGGTAGTGGGAGGAGGGGTAGTGTTGGGGTGAGGGGTAGTGGGAGGAGGGGTAGTGTTGGGGTGAGGGGTAGTGGGAGGAGGGGTAGTGTTGGGGTGAGGGGTAGTGGGAGGAGGGGTAGTGTTGGGGTGAGGGGTAGTAGTAGGAGGGGTAGTGTTGGGGTGAGGGGTTGTTTTTTCGGTTTTATGGAAGCCTGTTTGTTTTGTCTAGGGAGTTACGGTTTCCTTGCTACTACTACTGCTGCTCCCACTGCCACTGCTACTGCCATTGTATTGCCACTGCCACTGCTACTGCTACTGCTACTCCCACTGCCCTTTTTCAACCCCGATCTAGGGGCGGTCTAGCCCCCTGCCTGCCTATCCCCGTATCTCCCCCTGAAAACCCCTGCTACCCCTCCCCTTCCCTGCCCTCCCCTGCCCTGCCCTGCCCTGCCCTCCCCTTCACCCCCCCAGGTGACGCCAGTGAGATCGGCGAGAAGGGTATCAACCTGAGTGGAGGCCAGAAGCACCGGGTGGCGCTGGCTCGTGCCACGTGAGATGACCGGGATGGGGAGGGGGTTGTGTGTGTTTGTGTTTGTGTTTGTGTGTGTGTGTGTTTGTGTGTGTGTGTTTGTGTGTGTGTGTATGGAAGGGGTGGAGAGAGGGGGAGGGGAGAGGGGGGGGAAGTGGCGGGTAGAGGTGTTTTGGGTGGTCGTAGGTAATCCGTCACTTGGGGGGTTCATAACTCCCCACTACGTCATCTGTATCTACTACATTACCTACCTACCTATATATCCACTTACTTACACATACATACACACACACGCTCGTAATGTTCTGCATGCGAGTTCTACAGCCTTTTACATCTCCCGCTTTGATCATTTAAACACACCCAAAGTCACAAACACAAAATCACATATAAAACAATAAGCACAAAAGCACAAAAACACAAACAGGCACGCTCCTTGTTTCCACTGGCAGGTACGCCGCCGCGGACATCTACCTGTTGGACGACCCTCTTTCCGCCGTGGACGCCCACGTCGGCCGCCACCTGTTTGAGGAGTGCATCTGCGGGCTGCTGGAGGACCGCACGCGAGTGCTCGTCACACACCAACTGCAGTACTTGCCGTCCGCGGACCTGGTGGTGGTGATGGCGGGCGGTGCCGTACAGCACGTGAGCACGTGTGGCGGGCGGGGGGGGTGGGGGCGGGTTGTGGCGGGCGGGGGGGGAAGGGAGGATTCGGGGGGGGCGGAGATTGGGGGAGGGGAGATCGTTTGCGTGTGTGTATATATGTATATGTTTGTATGTCTGTATGCCTACATGCTTGTACATAAAATGTTTAGTGTGTATGTGTGTGTTTTCTTCTAGGGACAGGGAGTGGGGAGATGTGGGAAAAGGGGGAAGGGAAGGGGAGGGGAGGTTGTGCACCTCACACACATCGCCGACAGGATGTGTGGAAGTCATTTGGTCACCGTCACTATCATTGCGTTCGCGGATCTGCTCTGGGACCTTGCGTCCTACCTACGTTTTGATGACCGGAACTGGGCCGGAATTTTTCACCGGATTCGACAGGGGGGTATACTGGTTTGACCGGATTTGATCCGGATTTGATCCTGGATTGA